CCTTTGGGGTATTGTGATTGGGAACTACTGATGGCGCAGGTGATCTCAGAGATACCGACGATGCAGGGTCGGCCAAGTACGAGGAGGAGAGGTTAGGGTACTTTGAGACACCAAGGGTAGTCTTCCTTTCATAATTCATCGTCCTACAAGCCTCCTTCGCGCAAGCCGTGCCTCACTCCGATGCTTGCTCTTCTGCAATCCACGCCATGTACGCGTCTTTAAGCCGCAATACGAGCCCCTGCCACTCCTCCACAGTGAAGCAACTGCTACTCTGTCTCGACGCTAACTTTGTCTTGACCACATCCTGCAGAGCGCTATTGATGCTCTGCTCAAATACCTGCTCCAGAGCTTTACCCTTGTCTGCTTTAAAATTATACCGGTTTTCTCCACCTACGCCCGTTATGAACCCCGAGACCCGAGCAGTGAAAGCATCAGCACTGGTGCGCTCGCTGAGACGTATTTCGACCGTGTATTGCAAAAGCAGCTTCGGTGAAGACCCTGGATGTGGAACGGTGTCTTTGATTCGGAAATTAACGCGGCGGATATTGTTGGATGTCGGATGAAAGAGTGTACTTGGCTCTCGGAGCCAACTCCCGTTCGAACGTGTGAGAATCTTCCCAGGTGGGGAGGTTCGTAATAGAAGATCAGCAGTCCAAGTATATGACCCGAATAGTAGCGAGAGAAGCTCGAGCCATATCGTTTTGCAGGTATTGAGCAGACCACGGATTGTTTTCGGTAGCTGGGCAAAGACGCCTTTGACGGTTGTCACGCATCGTTCTTTCCCGCAATGATCTATTATTCTTCGCTCGAATTTGCCGACGATGTAGCCGTAGATGTGGTTTCGGATTTCTGCTGGGAGGTCGAGGAATGTGCATCGTTCTAGATTTTCATCGTGTCTGCTTGGGGTGCTTATTGTTGAGACCTGGTGGTCGTCTGGCTGAGAATTGGACAGTGAGTCGGACACCGGCGCGCTTGAGGTACAGGCTTCTAGTACTGGGGCATTCTGTGGTGAGCTCATCTTGCGGTCTTCCAACGAACGGCAAACGTTATGTAGAAGGAAAATAAGGGTGGAAAGACGCAAAGTAGATATGTGAAAATGTTAGCAGACCTACAGTATTTATCTTGAACCTTGATGCACGACACGGACTGGTTTTGGGAGTAGTGCGGCGCCGCTACTCAGCTAAGTAGCCTGCTGCCTAACGTACCCCAGCACTGCGCGCGTCAGGGGTAAAGGCAGAGAACTCACGCAATCACAGCAGATACGGTATCTTTCAACGAGCTTTGCGACATTCTTGTCGTGTAGAACTGATGGTGACGAAGCAAGGTAGAGACGCGTGCTGAAGTCGCGCACCGCCCGCCGGGCTAGATTCCGCCTGTCATTCCCGTGCCGTCAGCTCACGTCATCGTTAATGCCAACCATATGTCTCCTCTAACCAAATCCCGAGACACTTCAAGCATCGCTCAAGTCAAAGTACGGAAATGTCAGAATCGGTAAGCTGGAATGCCTATTCAAATGCGACGTCATCAGCATGGGAATGCCCATGGTCGCACTACCTAGGTTAGCCACATTTGCTAACATCTCCAAGAACGCCACCAACGGCTTCGCTGAGAAAGATGGCCAGTTCCGTCGCAAACCCTCTGCATTCCGCAATCTCATCTCTTCTGATCCTAATTCAGAGTTCCCAGCGGAAAAGGATCGATATGCGCTTTACATTCACATGGGTTGCCCTTGGGCACATCGCACGAACCTAGTGCGTAGCTTGAAAGGGCTAGAGGATATCATCCAATTGATCGTATGGGATCTATCGCTCGTCCATGACAAGAAGGGGTGGGGCATGTCTGGAAAGCCTGGGTTCGAGAAAGAGCCGCTCTATGGCTATACGAACTTGAGGCAATTGTATGAAAGGGCGAACCCGGAATACGAAGGGCGGTACCTCGTCCCGACTCTCTGGGACAAGAAGAAAGGCAGGTCTCGTGACTGCAAGCGCGGAAAGAGCATGCGCTAACTTGCTCACAGAGACAATCGTGAACAACGAGTCCAGCGAAATCATCCGTATGTTCTACACCGAGTTTGATGCGTTCATCCCCGAGCAGCTCCGAGAATCCAGCAAAGGCGACAAAGCCATCCTGCCAGAGCATTTGCGTAAGGACATCGACGCCATGAATGAGTGGGTTTACGATACCATCAACAACGGTGTGTACAAGACTGGGTTTGCCCAATCCCAGGAGGCATACGAAGAGCACGTATACCCCTTGTTCAAATCTCTCGATCGCTTGGAAGAACATCTTGGCCAGCCAGGCCATGGCCCATACCTGTTTGGCGATCACATCACTGAAGCAGACATCCGGCTGTACACTACCATCATCAGATTCGATGTTGCGTACTTCACAATCTTCAAATGCAACCTCAAGATGATTCGCTATGAGTACCCGCGGCTGCACAACTGGGTACGCAGGCTGTACTGGGATGAGAGCGAAACGACCAATTTTGGTGCGTTCAAGAAGACGGTGGACTTTCAAGCAGTAAGTATAAGGCTGTGCGAAAAGATGAGGTATTCAATGGCTAATGCACTTTAAGTACAAGGATGGTTACTCAAACGCTACGAAGGCGAAGATTGTGCCTGTGGGACCGAAACCAGATATCATGCCCTTGTAGATTGTTGACTGCAATGGAAGCTCGTTTAGTCAGTCTGTAAGCGTTGAACAAAAGTTCTATATCATCTGGATCTTTTCTTCCAACCAAGGTGTTCAAACAATCTATGAAAAGCCATCAAGAGTCGCGGCGCTGCTGTGTGAAGAGGTAATGATGCGCGCGCGTACGCGCAAGGTAGCGCGGATGTGGACAGTGAACATGCGCCAGTCCGCGTCGTGAGTTCCTTGCGCTTGCTCACCTGGTTGCGACACAAACAGTCATGTCGAGTTCACGTAACGAAACGGACGATACTTCAATGGGCAAGACGTTCTTAAAGCGCTCATTGCCAGTTTCTGATATAGCTCCACGAGAATCTATTACGTGCCACTCGAACACGATGAAGCCTTCTACTCATACTTTACCCCCACAAGCCTCCACGGCTGAGACATTAGACGAGAAAGAGACACCAGATCTTCCACAATCTACACTACCTGTAACTGAAGATGTCTCACATGATCCGTTCCATGACCTCATCCCTGGCTACCCAAAGCTCGCTGGAAGGATGGGCATCATGCCCGAGATAGGCATGTTCAGAAGATTCGGCGCACTCAACGCGCGCAGCCTACTCTACTACCAGAACGAACTGGCGTACCTAGAGGATCAGTTGAAAGAGACCGAGGCTGAAGACGCGAAGAGCACAGATGGCAAGAAAGCGTGGTACAGCCACAATGCTTATTGGCTCAACACCGCAGATCGCACCACAGACGACGAGCTCCGAGACGGCGACATGAGGCAAAGGGACCTCGTGATGCGCATCAGATGTCTTCTCAAAGAATACAGTGAGTGGAAAACAAAGCAAATAGGAAGCAATCTGATCAATCATCACAGACGACGCACTCATCCAACAGTCCACCATACTCCAGCGCATGAAAGAACCCACTGCCTTCGACCTCGACGATATCCAGCACTTCCTAGCAAGCGACCACATGAAAGTCCTCGCAGGTCTAGACGGAACCGTCTGGGGTTCTTATAAACAACCAAACAGTTACAGCGCAGAACTCGTCGTCCTCCGGGGTCGAAAAGACATGGATCCCTTCTCGCGGAACATGGGCGCAAGAGCTATTGATTGGATCGTGAAGCTTGGTGGTAAGCGCTGGAAGAAAGTCGACCCTCGCTTCGGAACTGTCGTTATTGAGGAGAGTACAGTCCACATGTTCACGTTCTGGATCACGAGTGCTGTTGCTTCGGTTTTACTCGTTGGCCCGATCTTCATACTTGCCAATGCGAAGTCGCTGGATGAACAGCTGGTGGTTATTGCAGCGTCGAATGTTCTTACTTCGGTTTGCTTGATGTACTTCACTCGTGCGCGGAGGGCTGATGTCTTCGCCATTACTGCTGCGTAAGTGATATTGGTATCGCTATCGGGAAGATAATGCTAACTAATGCCGATGTAGATTCGCGGCGGTGCAGGTCTTGAGCATTATTGCAACACTAGACAAGCGGTCTCGAGAAGACGTGTGGGAGTCAGGGCAGTAGAAGTTGAAAGTAGCGGTAGAAAGGATCAAGCCATGTACCAAGATTGAGGTTGCAGAGGACGTAGCCTTATCAAACTCCGATGCCAGACAGATAAGAGAGCCCAGGATCTACAACACCCCTCTATCTAATAGCTTGTCTATCTAAATCGACTTGACTACCTTCTGGCCTACAGATGTCGTGCCTGCTCACTGCTGTCACACCCGACTTGAACTGTACGTATGATTTGATAGAGGCATGATCACACCGACGCACACAGACTACTGATATGAGTCAAAGTACAATGATGGGACTAACATCCCGCTTCCGAATCCATCAGCTGAAGCAGATTTCGTATATGGATCAATGAAAGTGGGTATTATCATGCTAGTGTTGACGAATACATGGGTGTAGTGTCCTTTGGAATGATCGAGTATGTGTAGGCGTGATGTACTCCAGTGGCACATGAAAAGACGTGGGCTGTTGTGGGAAACAGTAAGGACCTCTGGGATAAGCTGTGATACATTGTCTGGAGGCTGAAAATTTCGCAAGTACCTCCCGCGCTATTGGTAAATTCACTATTTTTCCGTGCTGATATGAAATATTTCGTCTCTTTCTTTTCCTGCCCTGCGTGGGTCGAACGTGTTTACGGACTAGTCGCGTGATCCAATGGGTTCATGGGCAGGCTTTCGAGATGTTGGTGGTTGTCACAGAGGTGTTCGGATACCGGCGGCCTGTGCTAGAAAGTGTATATTATATATGAAGTTATAAAGATCATGTCTGACGGGGGACTATTGTGATGCATGGTCAACTCGACAACGACATGGCCATTGACGTGTGCTGAAGTATGACCCCTTCAAAAGATCTCCTGGTCATCATACGCCCTTACGCTCTCCAGCCGTTCCCTAACCATCTTGGGGTCCTTGCAAACATGCTTGCTATCCCAGCCATCACTGCCGCCGTTGTGATCAGGGAACGTCGTCTCCAATCCCTCGAGAGCCATGTCTGCGCTACACATGATAGCTTGGCGCATGTAGTCGAAGCAATGGATCATATGCCAGTGGTGGTCTTCTTCAAGCTCGTGGCCGGATGTCATGCCAGAATAGACAGCAACGACGGCGTAGAGGCAGTGAAGTTGGTGGGTCATTGATGTCGTGAAGACGGTGGCGTTGGGCCAGACGATGGGGGTGGGAAGGTCGTGGTAGTTCTCTGGATCGGGGATGCTTTGGAAGCCCATGCCGACTGCGTTTGACGTTAGTGCGGTGTTCACTATGAAGCCTGAAAAAGTCATACCAGGCAATAGCTCGTTCCATGCTCGAAGTACTTCTGGCTTGAAGAACTCTGATGTATTGTATGGCGCGAATGTCTGGTTGATCTCGAACTTGGTGATCTGCGTAGGAACTGTATTTCGGTTAGTCGATGTACAGGACTGGTTCATACGGCAAGTCTTACTATGTGGTGACCACCCGGTGATGTCGCCGCCAACATCGTTTGCGCTTGTTGATCGAGCCTTCCATCTTGTGGAATCAAGCATGCCTTGGTCTCTAGCCAATAGACCAATGATCACAAGTTGTAGTCCTATCACTAACACCCATCGCATCGCCGCCACTAACGGTGGGCACAATATGTTCCTTCGTGATGATGGTGCTCTTCTGTGATAGTCGCCAGCTGCCCATTGCTTCTCTCCTCCAACTAAGGATTCGACCTCTGTCGACGAGTCATCATCATGGTGATGGTCCTGTGAGTGTACATCTGCGTAATGGTGTTGTGGCTCCATCATGTCGATCGAATAGAATAAGTGACACCAGGTCAGTCGTGGCATTTGATATTAGAAACGGAAGTGAGCGCAGCTGAAGAGCCAAAGGCAGCAGCGGCCTCCGTACAGATGTACTCGCATGTCAAACGTGCCGGCCCACACCGAAACGTCGAGGCTGTCGTTCCTGGCGGCGCCTACCCTCCCCACTCATTGTAGACGCCGGCGATAGCAGCTCAATCGGAAGTCTTAGGCGTGAGTCGAGGGCGATGAAACGGGATGTTGGAAGGGCGTATCCGTAAGCTAATCCCTGTTGCGTTAAAGCGCCGAGATGAAACCGACGATGAATCGCCAAGAGTATGAGGCCATCTCGTCTTCCGCCTCAAGCGAGGATAGGCTGAAACCCAATCCAAACATCGAGCATGAACATTCGTATCTTGTTAACTGCAGCCGACGTTGGCTTTCGTGCTTTAGAACGCGCCGTCGCCACTCTGTTCGTATTTCGAGCCCCCGTGGAAGCTTGCTGAGCGTATCAGCCGCGATGAAGATGTCGATATGGATCGAGAGGAGCCGGCTCGTTCATTTGTGTCGAAGTACACGAATAGAGGATGTATAGACGTTGCTAAGGGACCGTCTTATGAGAAGCGAAAGCTTGAAGAGCCAGGAAACAAAAGAGATTGTATCGAAGAGGTTGGTGAAGCGACTGAAGACAAAAAAGGGGTGTTCTGCAATATTGGAATGTGCGGTAAGCTACTGTGGGGGTGTGAAATATGCCAGGTTGCGAATACCACACATGGAAAGCGAACCAGACGATAACTGGAACCACGGTTGTACTTCGTTCAAACTCCTGCCGCATGGTGTGACAGCTGTAGCCATGTCGTGTCTTGTACGACTTCACGGTAAGTATTTACCACCGCTTTCGTCGACTGCACGGCGCTGGTGTACGACAGGATTACGGATAGCGATACCATTCACGCTGTGCTACACCTACGTGCGTGCACCCGTCGTGCTCTCTAAGAGACATTTTAACCTGATATTCCGATCTCTTACGTTTTAGAGATATGGAATGCAGGACTGCAGCGTAGTCTGTAAAAGAAGGATACTCTTATCGCATCAGCAAGTGAGTACGCAAGATACACACCCACACGCTGCAGCAGGACACGACGCGACAGACTTCGGCAGAATATACGCAGCCTCGTAAGTATGGCTTATTCACGCATAGGTGGTCGTCGATTTCCAAAACTGAATGTTGGTGTTCACAAATGGAGAAAGAAGAAGCGACCACGAATCGTGGTACCGGAGAGCCATGTGGACTCAACGCTTGACACATAGATCGCTTCTGATGACCCATTTCTCTCCGTTCGTTACCTCGCGGCCTTCGTGCAGCATGCAGTCGGGGCCGTGTCGATGCAGCAGCGCGAGGCCGACTTCAAGGTCGACAACGAAAGGCTCAGGTGGAGGGTCTCGGCTCTTCTTCTTGGGCGGGTCCGGGTAGAAGACAGTCTCTCCACCGACGCATCCCGTGGCCGGCGAGGTGAGGTAAATCAGCAAGGTCCAGGTAGTGCGCGTCGACACAGGCGGTGATCCAGGAGTTTGAATAATCACATTGTTGGAATCGTCATCTGGCTCCATTAGCATGGGTTTCGTCACGACGGTCCGATGACTTGGGCAGAGTGACCAAGTAGTCATGACGTACAGTGCTGGTCGAAGAACTGGCCTTTGGAGTACCGATAGACACGGATGTTGGGATTGAGGCCCACCACCTCGCCGCCCCACAGCTCTTTCCGCTGCGCTTCAGTGAGGCCGAGCGCCCCTTCCTCCGCATCGGCGGTGACTAGCCTCCTTAGCCCTGTGTCGTTCCATAGTCGCTCAGCGAACGCAGGGTCATCGATTTGATAGCGGTCGTTCACTCTCACAGCATCGCCTTTCTTCGGTTTCCCAGGCGTTGTCGTCAATGGCAACAAGGAGAGGAAAGACACGTAGGTTTTGCATAGCGAAGCCGTGAAGAAGTTGGGGATGGTTACAATCTGCTTTGGAAGCACTTCGTGCAGGGCAAGGTCCTCTACTGGTACGAGAGGAGCGAGGGCAGGCCAGTTCGGGGGTTGTCTCGCTGGTTCAGATGACGCCGCCGGCCTGGCAGGCGCGCCTTGTTGGGCTTTCTTCTTGGGGGGCATCTCACTGTCAAGTCCTCCAGGGCTCCAGAGGTGGGACTGGCAGGTAATCCACACGTATGGGTCACTTTAATGGTCCTGCGATTGGCCTGGGTCGCGGTTCTGGGTGGAAACTTTCAGTGCTTGGCTCTTTCCCTACCAAAAAGTGACGGCCAAATGTGCCGGAACGGGCTCACCTTTGATGACCTGATCTGAGGCTCCCGTCGTTCTTGTAGAGGTGCCCTCGCCCTTCTTGTGCACTCTCTCCTCGCCTTGCTATTGCCTGCACCGCTACCGCTACCGCCCGCTCTTGCTGTACCCAGAGCAAATGTACTGACAATGGATTCGCCAGGTGAGACAGCAGACGATCTGCCAATATCGCGACACTCGTCTTTCAGTTTTGAAGAATATTTCGAGGAGCTATCAATGGAACGGGCTCGAGAGTTGAGTTCATCGTTCGCATCGGCGCCGTCGGACCTTGATGCGGAGATGGGCGGCCAAGACCCACGTGCAGCAGGATTAGGCCCGGCGCAAGCCTCTCATGGGCAGCCTCGACCGACATCCTCCGAAGACACCAACCCGCTGCGACAGCACGACGCAGACCCTTTCCTATCGGCAGACGCATTCAGCTACAGCTTTGTCGCGCCCTCCAACGATTGCTTCCCTCGTATGTATTGCGCGACACCGCGACGCGGTTTGCTGGGCGAAAAAGAAGCGCGCCGCTAACCATGTGCAGAGGACGGCATCTTTGACCTCCATTCCGTGAACTTCTTCCAGTACCCTTCCACCTACAACTACGCATTTCCCAACGAAGATGGCGGCGGCAGTATGGCCGTAGCCCCTTCCAACGAGCTTCTACACCATGTCAGCCCCCAATATGACACCCCCGACGCCCTTGCCTCGCCTGCTCCCGACAAGCGCATTCCCGACATGGCAGCCGCGACCAGCGATGCGTCGGCCATGCCTGCCCTCGGCGGCGAGAATCCACCGGCCAACCACGACCTGATGGACAACAACCTCACCAACGGACTGCGCCTTCTCGACACCCCCATCGACTTCGCGCAGTCCAACAACCTAAATGGCGCCGACATGAGCGGCATGCCCATGGACATGAATTCCGCCTATCCACCCATGGAGTCCTTCGGCATGATGCCGCCCACCACCACCAACGAGCGCCTCACAGCCTTTGCGCGTCTGCGCTTCGATGACGGCTCCTACTACATGCACACCTACCAGATTACCCTGGGCCGCAACCTCGACCTCGCGCATAGAGACATGAAGCGCCTCATCAAGGCCGAGGCACTACACAAGAAGGGTCACGTCAAGGCCGCCAACGAACACCTGCATGGCTTGGATGAGGTCAACGGGAAGAAGGACAAAAAGAAGAAGAAGAAAGGCGATCGGCGTGGTGCCCGCAGTGTCATCTCCGAGAAGGGTGGCATTCTCAGTGCCCCCATCGAGTCGATGCCCATGGAATACCAGCAGCGTCGCCAGAGCAATGCATCGCACTCTCTCAGCTCAAATTCACACCCCACGGGCGAGTCAGGCGAGGAGAAACCTGCCGAACGCGCGCCGCAGGACATGATCATGCAAGCCTTCCCCGAAGTGCCTGCCCAGTTCGACGGCCATGTCCCCGAAGACCCGAACGACTGTCCGTTCGTACCTATACATCCACAGCAGATCATGGCCAAGACAGGCTCCCTGGGGCCCAAGGGCATATCACGAGAGCACGCCAAGATCTTCTTTGATTTCGACGCAGGCCATTTCTGCATCAAAGTGCTGGGCAACAACGGCCTGCACCACGAAGGCGAGTTCTATCCTCGGGGAGAGACTATACCTTTGGACCATGGCGATCATCTGCAGCTCGGCGCTGTGAACATACACTTCTTCCTCCCCGACGTTGCCCTCACGGAGCAGCAACGCCACCGCCAGGAGTCGGGCTCACGCCCCATGAGTTTCTCTTTCGAGAATGGAAACGGTCAACTGGAAAGCGATGAGCACATCAGCTCCGAGAGCGAAGACCAGCAGAGCGTCAACCCACGACATGTCTACTACCACCATCCTGTCAGTGACAGCGACGACGACGATGGCCTCGCTGACGAGGAAATGGACGACTACGAGGAGCCCGCTCCGAAACCGCGCCAGAAGACAAGTCTCAAGCTTAAAATCAAGAACTTGCCTCCCGCTCCTTCGAAGGAGAGCAAAAAGGCGCACAAGAGGAAGCATCAGCACCGCGAACTCACGCCTGAAGAGCCGCCAACAAAGAAAGTCAAGCTCAAAGTCAAGGATACAGCGAAGCTCAAAGAGGCGATTCGGGAGTCCGCGAAGGAGCCCAAGGTCCAGAAAGAGCGCAGAGAACCGAAGGAACTGAAGGAACCCAAAGAGAAGGAAGTGGCTGTACCTGAGGAGCCCAAGAAGCCCAAGGAACCCAAGGAGCCTAAAGAAAAGGGCAAAGCTCCAGGCAAGACCCCCGCGAAGGCACCTATTAAATCTGAGACGCCAGTCGAGGAGCCCGTCAAGGACATTCCCGCGGCTCCAAAGCCCGAACAACCAAGCAAGCCTCCGCCGAACGATACTGCACCGGTACTACGCAAGCCACACGAAGGCGAACTTGAAGCCGGAGGAGATATCGATGGCCTTATTACAGAAGAGATGGCCATCCAGCACAACTTGCCACGAAACCTGATTGGACATGTT